GAAAATCTGAATGGTTCCCAGAATAATGGAACAAATGTATCAAACTGAAAATTAAAGACTGAAAGACCAATGTAGCAATATTTGGCAGATAAATGAAATCAATAATTGCTAATTATACCAACATGCCAAAAAGTAAATGAATGTGTGTCTTGTACCTTGGTAGAATGTTTACTAAAGATGGGGAAAGGAATAAGACATTTTAAGAGGTGAAAATGCTCATAGAAAGGTAGCAAGGTGATGTGCAGCCCGTTGCAAGGAATGAATGTTTGTTAAAAGAAGTGAAAGCTGCTGGATAGAGAAACACAGTTTTCCCTACTTTGTCACACAGAGGTAAGAATCGAATATACCAAGAGAAACATAGAAGTAGAGTTGAATGTGGTGAAAATGGTATACTTAATAAATGTGTGTAGTTAAAACAGGAAGGGAGGGAGGGAGGGAGGGAGGGAGAAAGGAAGGAAGGAAGGAAGGAAGGAAGGAAGGAAGGAAGGAAGAAAGGAAGGAAGGAAGNCATAGTGATTTTATAGCCCTCTTTAAGCGGTTTAGAGTCAGCATATTGCCCCCAACAATCTGGGTCCTCATTTTACCCACTTCAGAAGGATGGAAAGCTGAGTCAACCTTGAGCCTGGTGAGATTTGAACTGCCAAACTGCAGCTAGCAGTCAGTTGAAGTAGCTTGCAGTACTGCACTCTAACCACTGCACCAGAGATGGATTGCTCCTGGTTTGGCCTCATTCGGCCAAACCAATAGTGGAATTCAGGCCTGGGTCACAGAACCGGCAGTGACCCAGGCCTGCCATGCCCCAAGATCAGTTCCCTCGCTGCCACTGGGCCACCACCATTTTGGTTTTTAGTGACTGCGCGGGCACACTTCACTGTAAGTTGTTCTGCGCATGCACGAAGAACAATTTATATTGAACAGTGTACACATGTGCAGCACAACAACCGGCAACAACCCACCCCTGCACTGTGCTATCTTGGCTCTTATCTTTAGAAGGAAAGAGAAATGTGATCTCTCTCTCTCCAAATTACATACAACAACCCCCCACAAAGGAGACAATCCTAGGAACATTGAGTTGGTGATTAACTTAAACCAGCATTGGGTGGCCCAGAACCTTTCCAAAACACTGAGAGGCTTGGGGACATATTCACTTGAACCTTCAACACTGCCATCCATTTTGTCCTTGATAGATCTTACCTTGATATATTTTTTGCTCCATTGTCTTTGACCATTGAAAAGAACAGCCTAGTAAGGGTTGGAAACTTCAAATGCTGAAACAATTTGCCAGTATATTTTATCTTATTCATTTTCCTGCCTTGAATTAAAAAAAAATCTGGATTCATCTCATCATTCCAAATTCTGAACTATACTTCAGAATAGTTCCATCACCTTGTTGGGGGGCCCTGGCTCCATTGAAAAAGACCCTGATAGGTCTCTATTATATGTTGTAAGATCAAGGCTGGGACTATGAACATGCATAATTTTCAGCAAGAGCAAAATCTAATTAATGCTGCAGACCAGAGGTGGTATTCAGCCAGTTCTAATAGGTTCTGAGAACCGGTAGTGGAAATTTTGAGTAGTTCGGAGAACCAGCAAATAGGCTGGCTCTGGCCCTGTTGCCTCCCAGTTGATCTTCTTTTGTTGCCCTTAACAGGAGGACGGAGCTGGAAAGCAGGTTAGTAGGGTGCGGAGGGAATGGGGATTTTGCAGTAACCTTCTCCTGCCACGCCCACAAAGCCACACCCACAGAACCAGCAGTAAAAAAAAATTGTATCCCACCACTGCTGCAGACCATGCCTAGTGCAGACATGAGGAGCAGTCACTGGTCTTATTGATAATGTCCTGTAAAGGAATTTGGAGTTCCCGTTGGGAGGGAACAATAAACCTGTTGAGGAGGATGGGAGAGAAAGAGCGAACCACTATGAAGGTTTTAGAGAGGAAATTACACAGTTCTGGGTCAGAAGGATGTATGAAAGAGCAACTCAAAAGAGCCTCCCTTTCATTTTCTTTGGTATAAGATGGAAAAGTGAGAAATTTGGAACAGGCTTTCAAGATTCTGTGCATTTGATCTGCAATAATGAAGCAGCATTCTTGGAATCCCTGCAATATCTTCTTCTTGATCTGGCCTACCTAGAAGGGCTGACATGTCCATTCTTAGGAGATTTGATATATGTGGATGTGTTAGGGAACCCTGCAAGAACTTGCACATCTCCATTCTGTATTCACAAGCAGCACCCCAAATTAGTCAGCAAGATCCCTGTTGATGGGGGTTGAGGCCAAGCCACCCAGGATCAGGAACAAGGACAAGTTTTGCTTACTGCCGATGTCTTTGGATTCAGCCTTCAGTTTTCTGCACTGAATTGCTTGGTATGCATTTATTGTTTCATAGGTGAATGTAAAAATTTGACCTGTTTCTCTTCTCTTTTGCTAATAAGTTTTCCCCTCACCCTCTAAAGAAGCACAGCTCTTTCTGAAGAGGCTGCTTCTCCTTTGCAGCACCTTCCTGGAATAACCACACAACCACACGTTTTTGCTTCTAAATGAAAGACCAAGAGGCCTGGCCACTTTATGGATTTTCAACTGTAAGTCTGAATTCTCCTTCTCCTGTGTTACTCCTTACATATTTCTAATAATTTTCTCCTTACAACATAATTTTCTCCTTCCTGCACAATAAACTTTACAATTAAAAGCATTTGTTTGCAGGGAGCATATGGAGCTGCAGTTTATGCATCCCTCCTTTGTAACTTGTTTTATTCCAGGTTTCAAGTTCATCTCGGACTTCTCTAGCTTGCAACTGTCTGATACCAAAAACTTAGAGAAGGTTGAAATGACTCAGCAGATTTCAGCCCTCAATATCTTTATACACTCTTCGCTACTCGTAGAATTGAATTGAATGGCATACACCAAGCTTCCTTTTCAAGCTGCAACTCAACAGCTTTCTTCAACGGTGAAGGGTTGGACTTATACTGAACTGAAAACAGCACCGCCTATTCCTGTGTCTTTACAACACTGCTACTCCCCTCCTGAGTCACTAACTTTCCTCTCCTGCAACATCCTGGATTTGGAACCCAGTGCCAAAGAAAGCCCATCCCAGGTTAACGCAATGGCACGCTGTAGTAAGATTTCTATATGGAAATAAGACTGTAATACAAGTTTCTCTGGTTACACATTGTTTACTGTATACCTTCTTCCTCTCCTGCATCCTTCCACAAGCAGAAGAATGGAAGAAGAAATGCTTTTCTCCAATTTGAATTCATACGGAGAATTCATGGTTCGGGCAAAACTTTTTAATTCAATCCCATCTCTAAATTATAGCAGGGTTTTTTCTTTAATAGAAACATAGTTTTAAATTTTTTTAATAATGACATTCAAGCTGTCCACAAGCACACCGTCCTGTCTACTTCCTTTCTTTTGTAAAAGTTTGTCCCTTCCTGTCCAGGATCTGCTACAGAAAAATTGTGGGAGGGGGAAATAAAAAAAATATCTTGAAGCTCTCCTTTGAATAATTCTTTCCATGAGAAATGGAGATGTAGCACAATGTGCATAGAATATCATATGTGTGCTTAAGGAAAACCAGGGCTTTGAGTTAAGACTGGTAACCCAATCTACAGCTTCTCTATTTTACTTAAGGAATAAGAAAGGAGATGGATGCAAATGTTAGGAGTAAGTAAGTAAATGAAATGCATCATGAGAAAGCCTCCATTCATCAATGGCATATGGAATAGTGAATTAACAAATGAAAGGAAGAAAAAAAGTTATCTCGTGTGTCTGTAAAATTAGGATAAAAAGAAAGTATAAGTCTGAAAGAAGATAGTCTGAACTTTTTGGAGGGGCAATGATAAATACCTGCAAGAAAGTAAGATGTAGGCATAAATATGAATGAAAAGGCTACAGAGTATGGCAAAAAGTACAAACTGACATCACCAAGGATAGTAAAGGTAAAGGTTCCCCTTGTGCTAGTCGTTCCTGACTCTAGGGGGCAGTGCTCATCTCCGTATCAAAGCCGAAGAGCCAGCTCTGTCAAAAGACGTCTCTATGGTCATGTGGCTGGCATGACTAAACACCAAAGGCACACAGAATGCTGTTACCTTCCCACCAAAGGGGGTGCTTGTTTTTCTACTTGCATTTTTACGTGATTTTGACTGCTAGGTTGGCAGGATATTATGGGCCTGCAGAAAAGCAGGTCCACACTAATTATTGATTATACCACATCTGTGGCAGAACAATCTATAACAATTCAAAAAAAAAATCACCATAAGTAAAACTCCCATCAATGTTCATCCAACCCCTTTTGCAAGATGACCTTCAGTCACCAAAGGCCTTCCAGAAGAAGGCTGTCCTCACTGTTTTCTAGATGGCCTGTACCGAGGGGGTTAGTCAGGGACACATTTTGGGAGAGTTTCCTTATGGAGAAATGTCAAATAGATCACTAACTAATTGCCATTTCACATTAACCATGATAAATGCAATACAATGTGTTTGTTAGCTTCCAGAGAAGTTAGGAGAAAGAAGCACTGAGGAGGACATAAGACAGTAGGGCAAGCTTATTTTGGCAGTAAAAAAAATGTTGCTATGGTTTCAGTCTAGGGTACAATAAATATTCTAAATTAACCATACCCTCTGGTTTGTCTGGGAAGCTTCAGAAAGCCCAACTAAGAGGGAAACTGACAGCTAGGTATGTGAGCAACCAAGTCCCCAGTTCAGATCTTCCTATGAATTACAAATCTGCTTAGTAGGTTTTTAGCCAGCCACTGTTCCTCAGCTATCCTATTATGAAGATAAAACTCGGTGTTTTGAACCCAACGTAAGAGTTACTATAGGTGTCCAATGCAAGTTTTTCTCCATTCCAACAAAGCATGTATAATTTGGCAATTATAACATTCTTCTCTTTATTCAAGTTTTACATCTGTTGCAATTGGAGCTTAATGTCATGCTATGGTGTGTGGAAGCATTACTAGTAACAATTATTAGACTAGAGAGAAAAGGTACAGTATATCTCTTACCTTCAGTGAAGTTGCCTGAGAGGGTTATTGCTATAAATACTTTCCCTTCAGGTTCCAGGTCCACCTGCAAGAGAAGAGAAGAAAAAGGGAGAAATTGTCAAATGCGGTTTGGAAATAAAAAGGCCATATTAAATGTAACCCCATTAGTAACAATTTGACAATGACCTGGAAGATAAGATGCTAAGAATTAGATTTGGATCTGAGTTCAGGATTTCACCGCAAAAAGTAGAAAAAAAGCATTTGTCCAACGAGACAGGTTCATCCGAGCAATGAAAGAAGCGCCTCCATTATCTACATGCACGTCATATCACAATGTGTGTACAAAAGTGGTGAAGACTGCATCACAACATTGCGATCATTTCATGATTATTCATGCAATAATAGCAGCTAGGATTGTATTTGCAAAACATTGGAAAAGTGAAGAGATTACTACAGATGAGAATGTGACTAGGAAAATATTAGAATGTGCAGAAATGAACAGGTTAACACTTGCAATTAAAGAGAAGGAGCAAACAAAATATTACAGCATATGGTAACTATTCTATTGATGGCTAAATATGAAAGGTAGAAATGAAAATAGATTGGAGAAATATAGAACGTAGAAAATATATTAATAGAATTAAATAACTTAAAAAGAGGATTGTTATAGTATCAGATACATTATGTATATTAGTATCAAGTTATGAACAGACAAATAATGAGTATGGTTGTAAATTTTAACTGTTATTGCACAATATATTTGTACCCAGATGACACACTGTTTAATGGAAGATGGATTGTTCGTATTAAAATAAAATAAAATATATATATATTAAAAAAACCTATTGCAATCATTTCAGTATATGGTCCCCAAACTCTGTGGATATCCATGCAGAAAATATTTATGTTAACTGCAATCCCATATATCTGCTGTTGCTGTGGAAAGCATTTGAATTTACCTATGCACAAGCAAAGCCCTCCTTTGGAAAATTGTCCCTACTTGACTTCATGTGCATTCACAATTATTTTGTTTTGTTGGCGATCTCAGTAAAAGGGCTGTCTATGCAGTGTCAAAAACGTTATGGAAACTTTGAAGTGAGTTTTAATACACCAGATACACTTACATTAACATTTGTGAAGCATCTCTTTTGAACAGGTGGCAAAGTCTTAAGCTCTCATACCTGGACCTAAACAATAGTTCTGTATTTGATTGGTAGAGACTGCATGCTACAAAAAACTCCTGGAGGTTAGCCAATAAATATACTGTACTTATCACAGCAAATATAAATCATATATAAATTAATCAATAACCTTTCCCCCAAACAAACAAACAAACAAACAAAAGTAAACACAATATCCAGATGTCAATCAATCTACAATTGGGTATGTTTGCATTAGAAGTTAGAACATCATGACTACCAAATTTCAGATTCACACACAATGTTTCAAAGAAAAGAACAATGTGCACTGTTTAAATCCATACAAATTTACATCTTGAGTCAAGATGTATCTACTCCTCAAGTGGTTGAGATCCTAAAGCACTCTCTACAGCAGGATGTCAAACTTGATTTCATTGAGGGCCACATCAGGGTTGTGTTCGACCTTGGGGGGGGGCAGGGTGGGTGTGGGCAGGGTGGGTGTGACCAGCTCAACATCACATGTGTTGAGGGCACCTGTGGTGGCTCGAGCACTCTGCCAGCAAAAATGGGCTCCCAAGCTCCGTTTTTGGCTGCAATGGCTTCCTGCAATATTCTGCAAGCAAAAAAGGAGCTTGGGAAGGCTGCTCACAGCACTCCCAAGCACCATTTTCACTGGCAGAGGCACCGATGGCCGGTCCATTGCTGTTTCCAGGGTGGCCCTATGGGCCACATCTAAGCACCCCTTGGGCTGGATCTGGACACTCCTGCTTTACAGCAAAGATATTTTGGATTACAATTTTCAAAATAAGTAATTGCAGGCCATACTTGCTGGATCTTATAAAAACTGCAGTCCCAAAACATCTAGGTGATACCATGTTCCCTACACTGTGTTCTAAGCAGGATGACTTTACAATTGTCATTGTGTCTATGAGTATATAGACCTCTGCATAAAGATTATGAGAACTGTAATCTCAGTATCTAGGGGAACATTATGCTGAGGAAGGCTCCCCCGGAGTATGTAAAAATTAATGCATTTTCTAAGGCATTCCTAGCATTAGGCCCTAAAAAAACAAGCCAAATAATCTGGAGGGGAAGAAAGGGTCAGGGTTTTTTAAACAATAGATAATACTGATATATAAGCACATTCAGATAATTACGGCTTGAGTAAAGCAAGTAAGCAACACCCACTCCTCTTAAATCTCCTCATTGTCTCCTCCCACCCCCCCACTCCCCAATCATTACAAATCCAAAATTGGCAAAATTAAATGGTAGTAGGAATTTACTGATAGAGAATGGTTGTAAAATCAGATCTGGACACACAATGATTTATGATGAAAATTCTAGCCTCCATTAAGATCACATATCAAAGATTACATGGACTGTGTTAGAATCCTTGTACTTATAATATGTCAAAAACAGTTTGATACTTATGTGGATGGATGGATGGATGGATGGATGGATGGATGGATGGATGGATGGATGGATGGGTGGGTGGGTGGATGGATGTAGAGAGGCAGAGATAGAGAGAGAGAGACAGAAACAGAGAGAGAGATATGGGCTGACCCAAGTTATGGCTCATATATCTTTGCCACTGTTTTGCAATTTAGATAAAAACACAACCCAAAGCGATTATGTTTCTGCCCAAGAAAATCAGTCCCGCACTTATTTTCCACAAAAAGGTCATGTTTTTAACACAATTCTTTATTCAAGGATCGCAGAATTGGGCGTTTTGTTTGCCATTCCTTTTATAGCAATTTCAAAAACATCTGCTGAAGTTCACGTCATCCCATCACATGCCTTCTATAAAAAGCTCCCTCTTATTCTTCTTGATTTAAAAAAAAAAATGTGACAGCTAAATATAAATATAAATCTAACGCACCACGTGTAACATTTTGCAACAATTAAAATTGTCTCAAAATAGGGTTCTCTGGAAAGGTGACTCAGTGATTTCCAACAGCCATTCCTTGTGGCTGAACTTGCAACCATGCCCAAAATAAACATTCGAATAAGCCATTAAGTAAAGGGGGAAGGAGCACTTGACACAATTTACAAAGTCAAGTTTAGTATGGAGAGAGTACAACCACTTAGGAATCCTCAAGTTTCCAAGTATGGTTTGATGTCAGACTTTCGGAAACAATGACGAATACCACCACCCCCCCCCCAGACAAACAGATGAGTAAATTGATGAGCTCTAAATATGCAACCAGAGCCGAGAAAAAGTTGACTGGAAAATAATTGCTGTAAAATTCAGTAGTATTTAAATTACTAAGCAAATTCCTATTTTTAACCCTATAAGCGTCAAGGTAAGCCAAACTTTTTTCTCAGATGAATGCTTTTCTTTCTTCTTTTTCATCTAAAGTAACGAGGCAATGTCTCTGATATCACCATCTGTATGAGAAATGAGAGAATGGGGTTTCCAGTGAGGATTCACGGTGAGCTCGGCGTCTCTGAAGCATTGAGACAAGATTCATAGCTAGACAGAGATTTCTGGCTGGCTAAGATAAAGGAGAGATTCCAACAGCTGCTCCTTGTGAATATGCTGCAGGAATTGAGGTTTCTGCAGTGGGCTCCATGAGCCAAGTGCCTTGGAGTCAAGGGGTTCTCACCAATTCCCCAGTTTCAGGGTAGTCTTCTGGACACAAAGTTCTGCCAAGTTTCATTTCTTAAGCAGTTTTGGATATTGCTTTTTAATTGCTTTCCAACTATTAAAGACCTTTCAAATCTTACAACATGTACCAGGAGCTTCCTTTAATCCTTAGAAAAAGAAAGTTTTAGAGATAAATAAGAATATTTTAAGTCTCTTTTTTTAGAATAAACAGTAAATAGCATTGATTTTGGAAAGTTATAAATAAACTAAGGGTCCTGATGAATTTAAAATAAGATTTTGAAATTAATAAGAATCCTTCCCATGGGAAAATGTTCTTGTTTTGGAATTCTTAAAAGAAAACATGATAGGATGAGAATTTGAATGTTGGACACTAGAAGGAATCAGAAAACATTGAAAGTTACAATTAAAGGGAAAGCAGGCTTACGTTTGATTTATTAACACAGAGCAACATGGAGCAAAATACTTTAACATTGGAAATACTCAGAGGTGGGTTTGTACCAGTTCGCACCTATTCGGTAGAACCAGTTCGTCAAATCTACCGAATCAGTTAGAAGAGGTTCCACCAGTGGACCCGGAAAGCAGGCCACACCTACAGAAGAGGTTCCAAAAATTTTTGAAACCCACCACTGGACATACTGTAGCATATTTGTGACATATGGATCCAGAAACTAACTTTAAAAGTGTCTACAATTATAAATGGACTGATTTTAAAAGATGTTTTGGAAGAGGAACAAGTTTTACCAGACAAGACTAAGTCTGGTTTGAAAGTGGATTTAAAAACTGACAAGCTACAAGAATGGTATGGGAAAAGATGTTAAACTGGATATACAAATGAAAGCAGCTGATGTCTTAATAATTAAAAAGAATGTACAAATGTCAAACCAAAAAAAGCGACTTGGGTAACTTCCTATTATTTTATTTCCAAAAGAGATCTGTTAAAGTTCTGGAGAACTTTATGAGAAGGGACAAAACAGAAATTTAAAAAAAACAAGCTTTGCAATATTATTTGAAGGGATTAAAGATCAAGATTGTTAAAAATAAAGGAAGACATAAAAGTGGTTTATTTGATCAAGATTAAAAAATATGTTATTTTTGGTAGCCCTTAATGGACTTTTGCTGACCAGGACTGAATGACAGGATTGTAAGGATCTGTTTTGATTCAAGATCATATGAAGTGTTAATATAACTTTATAATCCCTTAGTAAAACCACACTTGAAATATTACATCCAGTTTTGGTCACCACGATATGAAAAAGATATTGAGACTCTAGGAAGAGAGCAGAGAAAGCAGAGGAACAAAGGTGATTAGGGGAGGTTAAAACATACAAAGAATGGTTG